TTGGAGTATTACTTTTGTTGTAACAATAAATATTGTTAGCCAGGAATAATCCATCCTTTAAATATTATTGTGGGAAAGGAAAACAGCCCACTACATTGGTGACCCCGACGTGATGCGGGTGGATTTAAAAAGGTAACCTCAAAGTCACCACGTTGCTCCAAAACGAACCACGGCAAGCCTGACTCCTTCAATCGACGCAACCCGTTAAGATGACGATTGAACATTCTCCAACACGTTCGGGAAATAACGACGCAGACCTTGGAAGCCAGGAAACTCGTTTACAGCAACAGCAACTAGTAATTGATGAACTCCAACAACGTCTCCAACATCTCCAAACAGAAGGGACGTCTTTAATCCCAGGTACACACTCCCAGCCAGGTATTTTACCATTTCAGACACAGGGTGACACAGTACCTACTCAGACTTTGGCCGCCATCAACCAAATTAAATTACCAGGATTCTGGAAAACCAACCCAGATCTGTGGTTTATTCATGCCGAAGCTCATTTTTACACGAAGAAAATCACAGTCGACAGTACCAAATACTTTCACGTGGTTTCTGCTTTGGACGCCGACTGCCTCAGACAGGTATCGGATATCATCAGACACCCTCCCGAAGCAGATAAGTACAAAAATATCAAAGATGAACTTATTGAAAGATTTAGTGATTCCAAAGAAAAACAATTACATAAGCTTCTCACAGGATTGGAACTAGGCACCAGGAAGCCTTCTGAACTCCTCAGAGAAATGAAAAATCTCTCTGCTGGTTGTGTCACGGATGAAATGATACGTACACTCTGGTTGAACCATCTCCCAATTACATTACGCAGCATTCTATCCGCAACAGATGATCTTGATGTAGACAAAATGGCCACGTTAGCAGACAAAGTCAACGACGTAACTTCTGGACACACAGTTATGGCTACACACACTCGCAATACCACCTCCAGTTCCACCGTGGAAGAGCAAGTACGAAAGTTGAACGAAAGATTCGAGACACTGGTTCAAGGGTTCAGTGAGCTGACAGCTAGAATCAACAGGTTGAGTCCTACACATCATCGCTCGCGGTCCAGGTCGAAATCAACTAATGTCAACTCTGCGAACAACTCCAATCGTTCGGGAGTATGCTTCTACCACTGGAAATTCGGCGAGAAGGCGAAGCGATGCATCGAACCCTGCTCAGCCAGTTCGACGACTGGACAGGCGGAAAACTGATGAAGCTGTCGTCAATAAATTCCGTTGACGACAGCATCAACCAAAATATTCCTACAGAGAAGAGATTACACATGATCGACATACTCACTGGACAGAAATTTTTAATTGACTCTGGATCAATTGTCTCAGTGCTTCCTGTGAAGTATTTCGCCGTCAACCCTAAACGCGATGCATTTAATCTCTATGCTGCTAATTCCTCGGTAATTCATACGTACGGAAACAAAATACTTACGTTGGACTTCAATTTGAGGAGAAAACTTACGTGGACGTTCCTCCTTGCTGACGTAGAATCAGCAATTGTAGGAGCGGATTTTCTATCCCACTATTCGCTGTTGATCGATTTACATAATCAACAGGTCATTGACTCCATCACTTCACGTACTTCAAAAGGCGAAGTGTACCGGACGTCACTCTACGGGATATCAACACTAAGTTTCAATCATAAATACCGAGATTTACTGCAAGACTTCATAGAGATCACTAAACCATCACGCACACCAACTTCACAAAAATCTTTCTTTGCACACAGGATCATAACCACCGGACCACCAGTCGTCGAACGTCCTCGTAAATTGGCTGGGAAAAAAGCCATTGCAGCCAAAAATGAAATTAATATTCTGTTGGAATCCAATATTCTCAGACCATCCAGCAGTCCATGGGCCAGTCCAATTCACCTCACCGAGAAGGCATCAAATGGCTGGCGACTTTGTGGAGATTATCGGAAGCTAAATGCACTGACGAAACCGGACAAATACTCTCCACCTCTCATCCAAGACCTCTTTCCACTTTTATTTGGCAAAAAGGTTTTTTCTACTCTGGACCTAGCTCGTGCATATCACCAAATACCAATGCACGAGGATGACATCGAGAAGACGGCTATCACCACACCTTGGGGCCTTTTTGAGTACCTCGTCATGCCATTTGGACTTCGTAATGCAACACAAACGTTCCAGAGATTCATTGACTCCATATTTAGAGATCTGGACTTTGTTTTTGTCTACATTGACGACATTCTGATAATGTCAGCAACGCCTGAAGAGCACGAGAAACATCTCAGAATAATTTTTAGAAAGTTACATGAGCAGGCTCTTACCATCAATGTGGACAAGAGCGTACTTGGACAGTCTGAAATTAACTTTCTCGGTTATACTATCACTGCTGAGGGCTATCGACCGTGTACGAAGCGTGTGGATGACATCATTAATTACCCAAAACCTGTCACAGTCATAGAGCTTCGCAGATTCTTGGGAATGTTAAACTTCTATCGCAGTGTCCTTCCCCACGCAGCAGCGCACCAAGTACCCCTAAATTCCTACTTAAAAAACACTCAGAAAAAGAATGACAAAACAAGGATCAATTGGACCACTGAGGGGGAGCAGGCATTTGAAAAGTGCAAGCGGAGCCTAGCCTCTATTACACTCACAGCATACTTATCACCTACTGCGCCTCTCATTCTCACAACAGATGCCTCGACAACAGCTCTTGGAGCGGTATTAGAACAAATTGAGGACAAAACAACAAAACCAGTTGGATTCTTTTCGAGGAAGCTGAGTGACACTGAGACTAGATACTCCACGTATGATCGTGAACTCCTGGGAATCTTCTCCGCCATCAAACATTTCAAACATCTGCTGGAATGCCGTCAGTTTATTATCATGACTGATCATAAACCATTAACCTACGCTTTCCAACAAAAGCTGGAGAAAGCTTCTGATCGACAATTGAGACAGTTAGATTACATCTCTCAATTCTCAACTGACATCGTTCACATCAAGGGTGAGGACAATATTGTAGCTGATGCTCTCTCTAGGATCAACGCCATCAGTACGATCAACATGCCAACACCACTGGATTCTCGCACCATACAACAGCAGCAAGAACTTGATGAGGAATTGCCCGCTCTGATTGCCAGCAACTCCTCACTCAAACTGCAAAAACTCATATTGGAATCAGATGTCAGCATCTTTTGCGATATTTCATCTGGAGTAGTCAGGCCATACATCCCAGCCACACTTCGCAAACAAGCGTTTGACAGTGTTCATGGTCTGGCCCACCCCAGTGGCAAAACAACGTCTCACCATCTACGACAAAAATACATCTGGCCAGGCATTAAAAAAGACGCTCTAAAGTGGTCACGAGAATGTCTGCCATGCCAAAAATCGAAGATTCATCGACACAACAGACTACCACCCAAGGAAATTGATGTCCCGGACAACCGCTTCAACCACATCCACCTTGACCTCATCATATTACCAGAGGTAAAAAACTTTCGTTATTGTCTCACGATAATTGATCGTTTTTCCAGGTGGCCGGTTGCCGTCCCTCTTCGGGACATGACAGCAGATACTGTGGTCACAGCATTATTTGATCACTGGATTTCATCATTCGGAACACCTCTGACGATTACAACAGACCAGGGTTCTCAATTCGAATCAGAATTGTTTGAGGCCCTTACCAACTTCATTGGAGCCTCCAGAGTTAGAACAACGCCCTATCATCCTGCATCGAACGGCATGATTGAGCGTTGGCATCGAACCTTGAAGGCAGCACTCATGTGTTCACCCAAACCCTGGACTGAAATACTAACAACTGTTCTTCTGGGACTTCGCACCAGCTTTAAGGAAGACCTCCAGGCTACACCAGCTGATCTCCTTTTCGGTACCAGCCTCCGTGTGCCAAACGAATTCTTCATCCATGAAGACCTTCCTGCTAATCCCAAGATGTTCCTTGAAAAGCATAGAGAGTTCATGCGAGGACTTCGCCCTACACCCACTGCCCATCACTCAAAATCCAGGATTTTTATACTCAAAAACTTGTATACGTGCTCACACGCATTTATACGTTGCGATCACGTCAAGGCACCCCTGGAACCACCATATATTGGACCTTATCGGATTCTCAAAAGGATCAACGATAGACTCTTCAAACTGGACGTAGATGGACAGGAAAAAACGATTTCGGTTGAAAGATTGAAGCCTGCCTACATTGTCAAAGAAGATCCAACCACACCAGAATCACGAGAAATCAAGAACTCACACCAGGCCGAACGACCTGAGGACTGGGGATCGTCTCTGGAAAAACCAACGAAAACTTATAGCCGCAAAATTAATAAATCCGTATCTTTCAGACTGCCGCAGCAAGACACTTGGGGGGGAGTACATGTGGCTACTCCGTCACGTAGCTCAGATCCAAACCTTGAGACCTACAATACCAACGGAGCCACATCGGGGCAGAACACTGCCAAACCGATGGAACATCCACCACAGCGCAAGAGAGGGAGAAAACAGAAGCTAGCCCCTCGTGACTGCATCGACTAACTACAGCTGTAGCGCCTTTATCAATAACGTTTTATAAAGAGAGTCTTATTAGTTGTTAACTATTTTGGAGTATTACTTTTGTTGTAACAATAAATATTGTTAGCCAGGAATAATCCATCCTTTAAATATTATTGTGGGAAAGGAAAACAGCCCACTACACACTGGCTACTCCTAACGCTATCTATCGGGATACGGACCCAATACGTGGCTCTGATACTCGGTCGGTAACGGTTCGGTGCTCCATCCAGAGATGGCGCCACCGATCCGTCGTTGATGCGATACTGCCCTGCAGTTTTGACTCCAGTGGTCGTGACGTCGCATCCGCTCCGAGGCAGCCACGTGCACGCTCACTCTTTTCGTCGACAGCTCTCGCAGAGTAAAGACGTGCGCTCGAAATTTGTGTACCACAATGGAAAACCCGAACATTCCTTCTACTGGGGTAAGTACATTTTACACGCCTAGCTTGGGATTTTGCAGAGTGCTATTAATTTAACGGCTAATTACCTCCGTAATTAACGCTTTGTAGCGAGTGAATAAGACTTACTGAGCCTCGCCCCAAATGGCGATGGACATCAGATTATCTGTTCACGGTTACCTTTGCCTATCATTGCTATCGTCTACTCTAAAACACTCGGCATGTAAAAGGCTTGATTTTTGACGCACATTTTCGCTCTCTGATGCTTCTGCACGCACACTTAACCTGCTTGGCATGGCTTGCTCCTCCCCTCTTATTTCAGGAGGACCAGGATCCGCAGATCCAGGAGTTGCAGCCCCCCAGAGAAGGTGACCTCATCGACCTGGGAAGCGACCTCTTCTTTCCTGAGGACCCACTCACCCCCCTCACTCCACAGGAGGAGATGTTGGTGATGGACGTGGAAGATGAGGGGCCGCTTGACGATCTCGAGGGGCTGAAGGAGTCACTGCAGGAGACGCCCCCTAGGGAGGCAATCACACCAGACAGTGGGCGGGGTTCGGCACCTCCACCCCCCGCTGTCCCTTCACCAGCTCTCTACGTCGGTCCCTTCGCAGAGATCGACGCTTTGCTCTCTCCAGCCGAAAGGCTGTGGCCCGGACTGACGGCTAGGGTTCAGCAGGCCGTGCAGAGATTGGTTCCCCCAAAACCGGTCCTGACCACAAGTGCCACCCAAACGGAGAGGCCACCAGTAGAGGAGTCCTGGTCCAATGTGGTCAGAGCACCAACACGCCCACAGAAAATTCCTTCTTCTCGGGCTAAAGGGAAAGCCAACGAACACGCCTCAACCAACATCAAGAAAAGGCTGAACCCACCTCTCCAGCCGGATATCTCAAGGGTGGGTGTGATCCCTCGTTTGACACGCGAGATTCCGCCTCCCCTCACCCCTCCGGGACCAGACGCCAAGGCGTTAAAGTCTCAAAGGAGGAGGGAGAGGAGGAGGAAACTCGCTGAGGTGGCCACCCGCCCCTGTTCCACCAGGAGCGACCAAGCCCTAAGCTATGCTCAGGTAGCTGGTACCGCACCGGTGAAACCGCAGTCCTCAGCGAGTGGGGCAACCCAGGTTGCCACCACCACTGCTCTCTCGGGAAGTCAGCCAACAGGCTCGCCTCCCTCGCTTGCTCCCTCAGCGAATCAGCCAACGGGTCCGACTCGCTCGCCAGCACTCTCAACTCCAACCCAGGTCAGTCAGCGTACAACTGGAGGTGTGGCCCCTTCCGGCAGGACCTCCCAGAGGTTCTGCTTCTACTGTCGGACCGCGAGTCACGCCTACCGCTCATGTGAAAAGTACCTAAATGACTTGGAGTATTATGGAGGTAAGCTACCGCCACACCTCGAGTTCTGCTTCGAGTGTGGACGACGAGGACGCACACTGAAATCGTGCCCGAATTGTCGCGAGAAGTGGATCGCTCGAGGCCCCTACATGCAATCAGTAGGAACCAATGTGCCGAGACACCAGCTCCCTAGTCGAGTGTCCACCGACACTCCAGCGTCAGCAAATTTGGTGGCCACCATCACGGCTGCCGTGCTGGCACAGCTCGGTAGAGAGGCCCCTGAGAGGCTCGGAGAGTACCCCGCTACTCACGATGCCCCAGGACCCACCAGACGCCGACGTCGAGGGAGGAGATCCGGTCGTAAACCGGCCGAGTGACTCCACTCCCGGTAACTCCTCGCTCTCTGCGGATAAGCCAGAAGGTAGCTCCCTTCTTGATCTCTTCGGAAAGAACGCTCACTGTGGGAAACCGCCGATTGCTCTCTTAGCCCGACCCTCCAAAAGGGGGCAGCCCTCCCTGCAGTCGACTACTACCAGCGATCTGGCAGAAGGGAACCACAGCTCCAGATGGCTCTCTCAGGACGACGAGATACAACCGCGACAACCTACGCCGGCTGACTATCTTTTTTTTTTACGCTCTCTTTTGTATATGTCGGATCTCTTCGGGGGGAATAAATATGGTTCATGGGAAAAATGTAATGGTTTTTCTTTCTTTCCCACTACCCACTCCTTATTACAGCGCACCACGGGGACGCAGCTGACTCTGGCTAACCCACAGGAGAAAGGGAAGCGGTGGGAAATCTCCTTTGCGGGGAGAAGAGCCGATGACGTCTTCGAGTTCGTCTCACAAGTGGATGACGCTCTTGAAGCCCGGCCAACCCTGCGCGATGGGGACCTACTCGCGGCCCTGCGGGGAGTGCTATCGGGATGCGCCAGAGAATGGTATCGCCAACGTCGCTTCGGCTCATGGGCCGAGGCTAGACGAGAGTTCTTGAGAAGATTCTCGGACCCCGACTACCAATTGGCGCTCCAGGATAAGATCTCTATACCAAGTGGGGGGAAGTCCGCGCACTGCGCCGAGCCACTGGTAAAACCATAAAGGACGCTATCGAGGATCTGGTAATTAACAGATGGGGGACACCAAAGATCCTGATCACGGACAATGGTACTGAGTTTGTCAACAAGGACATCCAGAAGCTGCTGGACGGCACTGGAATCACCCAGAAGACGACTCCGCCGTATCACCCACAGGCCAACCCGACTGAGCGGGTTAACCGGACCTTGAAGACGATGATACGAGCGTTCGTGGACCGCGACCATCGAGAATGGGACCAACACCTTCTCGAATTTCGGTTCGCCTACAACACGGCGTGCCATAGCTCTCTGCAGGCAAGCCCAGCCTTCGCTAACCTGGGACGGGAACCCGAACCCGCCACCAGCCTTCGGCGTAAGTTAGAAGGGAACCCTGAATTACCTCTCGGCCAGACGCGAACGTGGATAGACCGAATGAAGCGGCTACAAACCCTTCAAGGGATATTCCGCCACGCCTTGGATGAGGCACACCTCCGGCAGTCTCACCCCTACAATCTGAGACACCGGGACCGGGAATTCGAAGAGAATGACCTGGTCCTTTGCCGAACGCATGAGCTCTCCAATGTCGCGAAAAACCGCTCGGCCGGGCTATGTAAACCGTTCTCTGTGCCACTCGTAATCACCAAAAAGCTGTCAAAAACAGTATACGAGTTGGCCGACCTCGATGGAAAGGCCATGGGAAAAGCGTCAGTCAATGACCTTAAACCATATAAACCAGAGGCCCCGGCGGACGAGACCCGCCCTTCCAAGAGCTCCCTATGATAGCTCCCTACGACAGCTCTCTCTATAGTCTCTAAAAATCCTAAGAGAAAAGATTTCGAGTACGAAATCTTTTCCCCCACGGAGAAAGGTATGTAACGGGATTTTCGGAAATCCCGCACATTAAACTAAACTTTAGGTTACGTTCTCTAAAAAATCCTGCCACCTCGACCCTCTCCCGGGAATTCCTCGAATCGTCGAAGGGTGTGGGGACTGGGGCCCGAGTGCTTAGGGTGTTAGGAGGCCTGAAGACAGGCAACAGCACAGGGCGGACACGTGGAAACAT